ATATCCTTCATCATCCCCAAAAGAAGATGGGGAAGAAAACAAGGCGCTGTCATGGACTACACTGTATTGGTGCTGACGTTTCGGAAATATCCTATTTTCCATCATCAGAGTGGTAAGGTGTGCGTTCCTGGTTGCCGAGAATTATGTCGCTCCACCTGACTCCTGTTATAGACATGCATGACGCACGGACCCTGCGTTCTGCGGATGACCTCGAGTGACGCCTGTCGCCTACACGTCCGTTGAAGTGTGCGCTGAGATGGCTGCGGTGGGACCCTCTGGTGGACGAATCCGCCGTCGATCCGCGGCTATCAGGAACGCACACCTTACCACTCTGATGATGGAAAATAGGATACTTCCGAAACGTGGTCCGCGCCCATACAGTGTGGTCTATGACAGCGGCTTGCGTTATTTTTCCTCTGTTTTTTCGTAGACACATGGGGAAAACTCAGTGGATATATGTGTGCATGTGTATCCGCTTTACGCTTGGAACCGATTTCAGAAAGCAAGCAAAAATAGGCATGTCTTACCAGAATGGGGAGGCATAGAGAGCAGGTGTGTCGTTAATATGGCAACTGCGGAGCTGGTAGGCGAGCGACGAATCATCATCACCATCCGCGGCGGAGGTTGCAAAACTGAGCATATGACGCAGGAGACCCACCTTGCCCAAGGCCGAAACCAGATGAAGGGGCAGAATACCATCAGTGCCGGGGATGTTGGAGAGCTCAGGTGATTTCTGTAAGGGAAGTATACAGCAATTGAGGAATACTTTGCGGTTGTTGTAACGGTGGCATCTCTGTGGTGTCAACGTATAATTACGCCCTTACGAATCCCCAAGGAGTTACAAAATAGAAGGGGCGTAAAACTAAAAGCCACCCTGAGGAGAGTTTTTTGTGTACGAAACCTAGAGCAGCTGTCTCGGGTGGTAGTTGCGTCGCTGGCATAAATTCAGCACACTGTATGTCCCGCCTCGAGGCGAAGCCCGGCCTGAGATGTGACAGTGGCTTATAATCGATTGTCAAGCGCGTTCGGTTGTGGCATGATTGGGCACGTTCGAATAAGGGCAACTGCCGTGTGAGGCACCTAAGTGGCCCTTAAGGAACTGCGGCTAGTCGGGCACGCGCGTGGACTGGTGTGCGTCCGTGTTCTGTACAGGGATTTAAAGTCCGCGCGTGAGCACAGTCACCAGCGAAGGCATATGGACT